TCTCTCTTTCTATATATATATATATATATATATATATATATATATATATATATATATATATATATATATCTACGAATCCTTTTGATGTTAATTGCACGCATTTAAAGATAAATTACTTACTGTGGACAATCTTTTTAGTTTTTAAAAATTTGGTGTGAATGATCATTTTTTATGTTTTGACGTATTACACTAAACTTAAATCAAATAATATTTTTAGTTATTAACAATTATTTATGTTTTGACGTATTATACTAAACTTAAATAAAATAATTTTTAATATAACGTCCGGTTTATTTTATTAAAGTGATGCATCATATTTTTAATTTAAAAGGGAGGCTAGAACATGTATTTTTTATAAGACATCGGGGTACCCTAAAACGGAATAAAGATTTTGTTATGAATTGTTATAAACCCGATAAGATACCCGAAACCCGACGGGAAAACCCGAAACCCAATGGGGCGCCCCGATAAGATACCCGAAAATTATCGGGGCGGGTTTGGGAAACCATGCCCCGCCCCGAACCCGCCTCGTTGCCATTCCTAGTCAGGCCGAAGGCCCGGCGAGCGGTCTGGATAGGCTGTAGGCCCTACGAGGCGGTCCAGACGTGCCGAAGGCTCGGAAGCGGTCCAGTTATTCTATAGGCCCTGCGAGGCGGTCCATTTAGGCTGATGGCTCAGTATGCATGTTGTTTGTGTGATATTGTTATGGTTTGTATGGCGTTGGTATTTTGGGGGAACTCACTAAGCTTCGGGCTTACAGTTGTTGATTTTGTTTCAGATACTTCAGATGATCGCGGGAAGGCGAAGGCGTGACCGTACACTTCCTCACATTTTATGATTTGGATTTCTGGGATACTCTGATGTCTAAACTATTTTGAAAATACTTTGTAATAATTAATGATTTTGAATGGTTGAAAAAGTTTAAATTGGCTTGAATTTTTATGGATGTTACATAAACCCTAAAAATTAGGGTTTGCCATTGACTGACGTACGCCCAACGTATAAATGGGTACGCCCAGCGTACTAGGGGGCTACCCCATCTCATGCATCCATCGAAGTACGCCCGACGTACCTTATATATGCCCATCGTACTAGGGTCCTTAAGCCAAAATAAAGAAAATAAGATGCTAAGAGTTTACCTTACATATCGGGTGTTACAAATATGAATTGTAAGAAACATTGGAAGCCTATCATAGATAAATTTCACTCAAAGTTATCGATTTGGAAAGCAAGATCTCTTTCATTTGGGGTAGAGTGACCTTATTGAAATCGGTCCATGGAAGCCTTCCTACATATTATTTCTCATTATTCTTGGCTCCGTCTTGTATTTTGGATGAGCTTGAGAAAACTAGAAAGAGGGTTTCTATGATGAGGCACAACAGGAGATAAGAAAAAAAACCCATTGGATCTCGTGGGACAAAGTGCTTGCTTCAAAAAAAGATGGTGGTCTAAAGGTGGGTTCCCTTAAGGCTCAAAACATCGCCCTAATTACGAAATAGGTGTGGTGTATTTGAACAAAAGAAAGGAATCTTTATGGTGCAAGTTAATAATGGGACTATATAATCTTGTGAGAATCAGGGGAATTTTTGGCGAAGAAAACATTACCAGGAGTGTGGCAAAACATATCCAATATTTTTTAGTGTACATCTAGTCTTGAAATATCATTTGAGGACGTATTCCAAATTCACACCAGTTTTGGAAATTGCACGCTGTTATGGAAGGATAAATTGATAGACTCCATCCCGCTGCAGGACCGGTTCCCGACACTTTATTCCCTCAAATCGTGCAAATCATGTTTTCTTTGTGAAAGAAAACCCGGGGAATGCTTCTGTTGGGTTTGGAAATCGGATCCCACCTCCACTGAAGTTGTACACGAGTTATCCATGCTTGATTCCATTAACTGTAGTTATAATTTCTTGGAGGTCAGGACGTGTTCAGATGTATCCTCAGTAACGATGACATCTTCACGGTAAAAGCGTTTAGAAAAGTGGTGGATTCGAAACTAACAGCAACATGAGGCGAGAGGTTCAATTGGGATAAATTAGTTACATTGAAAGTCTCATGTTTTGTTTGGAGGGCGGTGGATGGCATGATCTCGGTGGCTGATGTGTTGTTAAGAAGAAGGATCCAAATTCCTTCCAGCAGTTGTCATATATGCGATAATTGGGTGGAAACAATAGATCACGTTCTAATCGGTTGTCCTTTTGTTGTCAGCCACGCTAGATTGGATCTTAAAATGGTATGATATTCCTATAAGACAATTCACAAGTATTGTGGAACTGATTAACTTTGTTGCATGTTGGGGGAATTGTCCTAAGAAACGAAAACTGTTAATAGCTATTTCTACGGTCTCTTTTGGCGAATCTGAAAGGCGATGAATGATAAAGAGCACAACATGATCCCATAATCTTCCACCAAGGTAGTTGACGATGTAATATCACTAGTATATTTTTGGCATAAGTACATGAGAAAACACAACACCTGTTGTTGGTCGAAGTGCGTGTGCTGCCCTTTTAGGTGTGGTTATGTGTAAATGTACACTTTGTAATCTTGTGTTTTTTCGGTCTTGTCTAGTTCCTTGCTTGATTCCGGTCCTCTTTTTATTAATATCATTTCCGTTTCAAAAAAAAAATCAAGAAAAAAAAACGGCAAAAAAAGTACATGCATTAACCAATGAAAAACAGTCTAACATTAATCACCGCATGTTATAATTACCTAATGATAATTAGTCTTCAAAGAATTTTAGAATAAAAAAAAATGTGGCCTCCAATCAAAATAGTCTACAACATAGGTTCTATTTGGAAAATAGATGGGTTATGAAAATATTATACCCATATAAATTCACCATATAAATTCACACAAAGAAACACAACATATGCATTTCAGTGCTCATAGGGATTTCACAGCTTTCAATGGCGTTTTCTTTTTCAAGATATGCTTTCAGTTTCTTGATGTTTGTAGTAGCATGTTTTACAATCGGTAACTCACAACCCATGCTGAACTCAGTTGAGCAAGAATCAGTGTACCGAGTGCTTGAATCGCTCAACTCTGACGTCCCATGGCGGTCTCTCTTCCCTGACGACCTCTGCTCCTCCGCCCCACACGGGGTCGTTTGCGACTACGCCAGCGTCACCGGAACCCTAAACATCGTCGAGCTTAGTTTCGGGTACGTTTCCGATTTCAACTCCAACCCGACCTGCTCACCAAGCTCCACACTACTTGACCCGTTACTCTTCTCTTCTTTTTCCCACTTACGTAAACTCTTCTTCTACAAATGCTTCACCCAACAACCCGTTTCTTTACCTGATCTGTCACGGGTTGGTTCTGGTCTTGAAGAGCTTGTATTCATCAACAACCCAACCCTTTTTGGTTCATTGAGTGACTACATCGGTAACATGACTAGCTTACGCCGGTTGATCATCACCGGAACGAAAGTTTCCGGCAAAATCCCGGTTGGGTTTGGCGAGTTAACAAATCTAGAAGAAGCTACACTTTCACGAAACAGTTTCACCGGAGAAATTCCGGAAAATGTATCAAACTTGAAGAAACTTAAAGTTCTTGACCTCAGCCAGAATGGGTTTAGCGGAAATGTTCCGGGAACAATAGGAGGATTAGAGAATCTGTTGAAGCTCGATTTGAGTTCCAATTATTTTTCCGGCGAGATCCCGGAGACGATGAAGGGTTTAAGGGGTTTGGAGTTTTTGGATTTGAGTGATAACGGATTGGTGGGTGGTGGGGTGCCTTTGTTTCTGTCCGAAATGAGTAAACTAAAGGGGGTGTACTTGAGTGGGAATGAATTAGGAGGGGTGATTCCCGACATATGGAAGAACTTGCGGGGTGTTAACGGAATTGGGTTATCAAGAGTAGGGTTAGTCGGGGGAATTCCAGTTTCAATGGGGGTATTTCTTGGAAATTTGAGTTATTTGGGTCTTGATAACAACATGCTAACAGGGGAAGTCCCAAAGGAATTTGAGAATTTAGAGTTATTGAGCGAGTTGAATTTGAACAACAACAATTTGAGTGGGAAGATACCCTTTTCTCTAGGGTTTATGGGTAAAGTCGGAGGGAAGTTAAGGTTAGAAGGGAACTCAGAGTTGTGTGTGGATGAAGGTGTAATTAACTTATTTTACAAGGTGAAGATATGTAACGAGGTTGAAAATCCCATATCTGCCCTTGTCTATGGGTATGGCATTAGCTCTTCAAGTAGAGTTGGTGATAATAGTACATGTTGTTGGGTATTGATTTTGGTTTGGGTGGTTGTTAACTTGTTATGGCAGAGACGATTTTGATGTAGCTAACAAAGAAACCAAACCAAACCAAACCAAACCAAACACATTTTGTTATATCTGACTTGCAAATTGCAATGGCAAGAATGTAATTATAGTTTGTCACAATATTAATTATATAGTTGTTTAGTAGTGATTTTGAAAATTAAACGACCAAATTAGAAAATATACAGAAATTAATTAATTTTGTACAAATCTAAGATACCAGTAACCAACATCAAAATACATCATAGCTGGATATATATTGTTTTGTTGTTATTCTTGATCGGTAATGTCGTCTGGTGCTTTAGACTTTGATACTTTTGATGCCTCGTCACCTGACCCATCCTTTGGTTTCTTTTTCCGAGTCCTTTTTGGGACTTCGGGCAATGCCTCATCCCCGGCGTGTCGGCCTTCCGCACCGCGTGTGTGGTGTCTTCTGGGCTGCCTTGCTTTGGTTGCCTCTTTGCTCTCCGAGTTCATATTTTCCACTGATCGATGCCGGCGATGTCTTGCTTTTATCTTGTCTCTTCGAGACACCTTTTGCCCTGAATCTGTAAAGTAAAAAAACAATCATCATATTATTAATAGCTCCTGCTAATTTTATAACATTTGAGGAATTGAATTGGGAATTAGGAATTAGGGTAATAAATAACCTTCAGAAACCCATTCAGGGCCATCACTTAGGTCGGATGATGCGAATTGATCAGGTGTACCATATCCTTTCATCTGCACCCACAACAACAATAAAACGGGGATTTTACACAACGATTGATTGTTCATGTTCAAAATTTAGACCAAACTTATTATCAATTTACAATTTACATACATACCCAGCTGGGGGATTCTTGTGCTGGTCCATCACATCCTACATGAGCCAAATGCTTTACATCTGTGGGACCACCAATTTGTATTTCCTGTTTTTTGTCTTCCTCTGCAAAATTCTCAAATTCGGTTATTATCCTATTCCTATTGTAATTTATAATTTATAATTTATAATTTATAATTAAAAGGCAGGAGAGAAAGAGACTACTGACCAAAAACTTGAGAGATATATCTGAGGCCTTTAAGAAGCCCTTTCACCTTCATACTACCCATCGTTGGAGGAATTATGATGATCTTCAATTTTATCAGGATGGGGTCAGCTGACCCCATAAAATGTCAAAAACCAACTCAGATATATACAATACAATACAATACCAATATAATAGATTCAGATATAATAACCAGGGTGATTGGGGAACCCAGAAAACAAAACAAACAGATGTAATTGGGTATTACAATCAATGAGAAGAAAATAGGAAGAAGCTTGGGACGACGTATGCATGCATGAAGCATAAAAAATTACCTTATCATTAATTTATACCAATTCAAACTAGTGGACAAAATTTAGATGTAAATGAGAGGTGGTTGAGAATTGAGATAGATAGATAGAGGGAGAGAGAATATAAATATCCTTCTCATTGGCTTGTACTCTGTGCATCTATATTTGCAACTTGCACCAATTTTATGTTAAGTAACAAAACAAATACGTTTTATATAGATGTTGATTATAAGTCTTTAACAGATCATTAACTGAAAATGGTACACATTCATAAAAGCATATATCATAGTCTCTTCTTCCTCAATGAGGTTTAACAAGTGAGAACCAACAACTTTATCAGTCAATGTCATTACTTTGCTTTCATATCATCCAGACCAACGCTAGCCTGCATGATAAAATGAAAATCAAACAAATTAAAATCATAATTTTCATGGAATAAATTATAGACAAAAAAAAAAAAAATGAAGTTTTGTAATGAGATGATCTCACCAAGAACTTGTGGTTCTCTTCAAGAAGAGGTGTGAATGTTGCACAAAATTTTTCAATATCAGAATGGATGTCACCTTTCCCACCCACAACATCCATGAACTTCTTCCTATCTGGAGCAAGCTTCATTGCAACCTGTAAATCCATTTTGGAATAAGAAATTATAATAATATTAATTTATTATTATTAAATTATAATAATGTACAGAAGTAAATGGATACCGTGAAAGTTGAACTGGCTAACCAGCCATGGTATTTCTTGAGTGTCTTAGTGTAGGCTTCAGAACAAACTTGTGACATGCTCCAATCTTTGTGCTCCATCAAGTTACGAAATAATTCTACTATGAAGTCCATTGCTCTGAAGGGTATTTTGGGGTTTTTAACTATTTGTGATAATATATAACTGTAGGGGTAGAATCGTAAACTCACCTAGTTAGCCACAATAGACCATTGGTGCAGCTAGATGAACCATCTGCTTTCTTAGCTTCAACCTCAACCCGAACCATACTGTATAGTTTCTCAAATTCAGATGGGTTGGATAGATACTTGTTCTCTAACCTCTGGAGGAAGAGAAACAAATAACCAAATACACATATAAGTGGCAAATAATATATTAATATATAAATCAAAATGAAGGAAAGGGAAAGGAATAGCACTTACTGTTATGTTACCACCAACATCAGTTTTGACAAGTGCCATGGCTGCTCCGAAATTGTCTAGCAGTAGATAATAAGAGAATTAGAATGAAGGAGAAACATCATGACAAAGTAGTTCTTAGTTATAAAGCAAAACCTTACCAATAACAGGTAATATCTGTTTGCAGACTTCTAAGAAAGGTTTAGAAAGCATTTCACCTTCTTCAGACTTGACATGTTTCATTCCTTCTAAAGCAGGAGTAAATACTGTCCCTTCCATCTTCAAAATTGAAATGACTGCAACAGTAAATAATATGAATTATAGATTAAATGCTTAAATTTGCTTCTTTTTAGTGTAGACAGTTGGAGATGAAAAGCAAAAAATGTAAAATGTAAGCAACAAAGCACAGCATAATTGTTATACTATATGAATTTTAACTAAATGCTTCCACAAAGCTACATAATTTACCTGAGTAAAGGATAGTAATACAAGAATAAAAAAGTCATCCTTAATCCTAGAAAATGAAGTTGATGTAAATCACAAACCATAATTAAAAGTCTAAAAGGCTAGATTATCATTAGTCCCTCTGTTGCTATTAAGAGCACAAAAACTCGATGTGAAGACTGTAAAACCACAATCCCTACCAGCAACAAAGATAAGCACAGCAACAAAATTAAGTAAACACCAGTTACTGATCAGGATGCTATTTGATCCTTACTTGAAAAAGTGTGCAACAATTTGGATCATCAAATTCACACTTTATAAAAGCCGTATGACCAAATGCTTCAATAACTCAGCTGATCAGAGGATTTACATTCAAATCTAGCTATATGACCAAACGTATCATTAACCCGATAGATCAGAGGGTTTACGCTTAATTCTAGCCATATCACCAAACGAATTACAGAAATGAGGTCAAACGCATGCAGAAAAACAGCACAGACAATCTAGAGCACAAACGAATTACTACAAAATTGAGGTAAAACGCATGCAGAAGCAGAACAACAGCACAGACAATCTAGAGCACAATTGGCAAACGTAATATCAGAAAAAATTTGCATAAATCAAGAGAAACATATACGTAGAGAAAGAAATCCGATCCACAAACCCTAGATTCATATTATCATGGAACTCAATTTCAATATTTTCAGAAGAATGTAAGTAGATCTGAGCACAATTGATTAATCAACACAAATACAAATGATCATCATTGTGAAAAGAAATTAAGTACAGAGATCTGAAGATTCGAAGAACCTTTTGCTTGCAGATAGTTTAGCTTCAAGTTCGCCTACAACAGACGCAGTTTTTTTCTCTTTGAAGTCTCGTTGACAGTCAATAACGATTTTACTTATAAGCTTCACGCGGAAACCGATCATAGAAAGAAATTTTCAAATTAATCCCCTAAGTTATTATCTGTGACACTTACACCCATAAAATTTAAATAACTTAGTTATTATCGGTGACACCCTTAATCCCCTAAGTTATTATATGTGACACTTAGGTGCTGTTTGTTTTTTCTCAGGCAAAATGTCTGTGGTCTGCGGACCACATCTGTAGACCTCCGCAGTAGAAGAGGTGGACCAAACGTCTGCAGTCTGAAAAAAGAAGACTGTTTG